GCTCGTTAGGCTTAACGAACGAGCCGAACACGAGCTGCTTAACGAGCCGAACACGAGCTGTTTACGAACAACGAGCCAAATTGACAGCCCTAATAGCCACTGCACCTAGCCTTTCAGTAGATTATTTTTAATCAGTTTATCAGCAGATTATTCAATAAGCTGCAACTGCCCCAAACAGACTCTTAGAGAAAGAGCACCAATACGTGTACAAAAATTGGCAGCTCTATCAAAGAATCTCTACTTAGTTGGACAAGAGAGGAAACTCAAATATCTGGTGAATACTGACCAGCAACAACTTCTCTGGATGGCTCTTTCTACACGTCTAAAAGGCAATTGAGCTATTCTTAGATCTTCAAGCTTGAGGGTACATCTTTAAGTATAGTCTAACTGACAGACCCTTTAAATATAGGGTCATCTAAGACTTACTAAATCCACAAGTTATCTCAAAAGGGAAAAAAAGCATTACCGATACTGTAAAATTCACCAAATAATAATAAAAATAAACTGCTTGGAAACATTAAACCAAATCCTAGTTAAACCCAAAGCCAAACTTGAATCCAAACAGCATCTAAAATACAGAGTTTTCCTAAAAAATCAGGCACAAAATTAATGAACTAGGTTATTCCTCACTGCTGGAATAAAAATCATATAAAACTTAGCAAACAAAAGCATAATAAAATATTGGGAAACTAAGGTGCTAAAAAAATGTTTCTAGGATCAAACCAGAAAAAACATTAACAAATTGGCATTCATATCACAAGCAATAAATTATAAAATATCAGCATACAACTCAAAACATAATGTGAATGAGACCCAGTTAATCATTTAGCAAATCAAAGAAAAAAAATCTCACAGTTTCTGATCATCGTCGATCTCGAGCTTCTTCTGGCACCCGGTGGTGGGATTCGCAATGTTGAACTGCAATAAAAAGACGAAAATACATTGATCAGTATCAACAAAATATATCCAGAAAATCTCCGTTCAAAACAAAAGTAAAAATATTTTTTTTCCTTGAATACACCGCTTATACAAAAAAAAAAAGCTTAAAAAAGAACCTTCATCTCGGATCGAGATTTCGCTTGCTCTCAATGTAAGTGTCGCGTTAAGAATCGAGAAGTCTGGACTGGGGGATCAAACCCACCGCTGCTAGGGTTTTGTTTCGAAGAGCCGGCCTGTCGGCGTTTATGTGACTTTGGACTATGGAGGTTGAGAATTGTAAACCGTTTCAATATGGGCCGTCAAATTCGCGAACCAACCATTTCATCATTGTGTAAGGCGACGACTCGACGGTCCTGATCTTCCATCATTTCCCACGTGACCCAAGTATCTGATTTGGCTCACTCTCATAAAAGTCTAATCAATGGTATTCAAGTATGAGTTGAATTTCAAATTAATTCAAGTTAATTATATTAATTTTATAAAACATATTTTAATTATTAACAATGATTAGTATCTTTCAAAAATATTAAAAAGCTCTAACTAATTTAATGATAACATATTACTAGGGGTGTAAACGAACCGAACACAACAAACAGAGCTTGTGTTCGTGTTTGGTTCGTTTGAAATTTAGCTTATTTAAAATAAGCTCGTGTTTGAAATTATTCATGAAGTCACTGTTTGTCTTCGTTTCTTAACGAACGAGTCGAACACGAGCTGTTCGTGAACGACGAGCCAGGTTGAAATCCCTAATATTAATATCATAAATTTTTTTATATATAATTATTTTAAATTATTTTATATTTCAAACAATAATGATTCAAACACGAACGAACGCATCACTATTCGTGTTTGGTTCATTTAACTAACCAACAGAAAAAAAATTTGTTCACGTTCGTCTCGTTTACTTATCGGACGAATCAAACACGAACTCATTGACAAACCGGACACGAACTGTTCGCGAACAACGTGCGAACAACGAACTTTTTTGACAGCCCTAGGTATTACAAATATATTAACGTACTTTTATATATTAACAGAGACACTGCCTTTGAGTTCAAATTTTGAGCTATTGTCGAGTACATTTCGAAGTTGATTACCGATCATAATTACACCTACACAATACTGGCTCAATCAGCATAAGATTAAAATTTTAACTATAAAAATCAAATCAATTTTCTTACTTAAATAGTGTTCAATTAAGTTAAATGAGTGGTTCTGCATGTTGGTTATTTGTTTTCATATATTTAAGAAAAAAAAAAAGATTTGACAAGAATAACAATTACGTAGCGCACAACTCTTATGTATTTACATATCTTATATCTAAACTTTTCACATTTACATGCATAGGACATGCATAGGACGTTGGTGCCTTAAAACACATGCATGAGAAGGTGCTTCACTTTTATCCGAGTGTTGTGTGTGTAAATATGAAAGTTTAGGTGTACCATATCCAAATACATAAGAATGATGTGCTATGTACGCAAATACCCCTAACATTAATTCATCTCCATAATTTTCATTTACTAGGCAACAATCTTTATATAGCCAACAAACAAAGAAACGTCAAAGCCTAACAGGGAAACATAAAACTCAATGCAACATTTCCAACCAAGTGATCAACATTTGCAAAAAAACACTTCAGACACTTCCCCAAAATCTTCCATAATTAAAGCTTTCCTGGAACACTCTAAGCAATGATTCTCATTGAAAGAAACCAAATTCATTACAGAAAAGTTCACCTCTGCACTGGCACCATAGCACAGCAAGTTTTAGCTCGAGAAGAGAATGGCCTCGTCTTTGAAGTTTAGAAGAAAGGAGAGCTTTCGCTGAGACCTGAAGCCCGCATTTCTTCGACTGTTCTGTGAGAAGCTAGCCTACGCCATGAAATCCGCGTCTAGCAACTACAAGACCAACAGCTAGTGCAGCTCCAAATAAGGAATGTAACCGAACACAGTAATACTTTGCCATGAAGATCTTGACTTCATTCTGTCATGTTAGTGAACTCATTAAGTTTTTTCTCAGATTGATTGGAAATAGTCAAGTTCGGGATTCTCACATTATGATTTTTCTCAATGAAGTCCATAACAAGTTTGGCCATCGGAATGGTGATGGCACAAAGAAACTGTAAGTAGAAGAGATAAGATTAGATCTGTATGTGTTCAAGTAGTTAGAAATTCGCTCTCAACATATCTTGTTTTCAGAAGTATATTTGCCTAAGATAATCATTATGAAATATGCCCCAGATACCATAATTAAACTTTCACCGAGGCTCCGAATATAGTCATCTTCTCATTAAATGTATAAATTTATCCTTTACGAGAAGTGCTTGTTAGGTGTGGAGACAGTTAAAAGAAATGAAAAATAAAATAAAATAAAAACCCCGCATATATTTCTTCTGCTCCCGATCCCGACTCCCGTCTTTTGCTCCCATTTTCGCGAACAGAAAAAAAAACTGCTCCTATTCGCAATCTCTCGCTCCCGTCTCCGGCTGCACGAGAACAAAAACTCCCTCCCGTCTCCGTCTCCATCACGCGAGAATAGAAACTCTCACCTCTTTCATTTCACGGAAGCAGGAACTTCCTGCTTGGATTGCTTGGACTCTTGTTGAGGCTTACGAGAGTAGAAGGCAGAAAAATGTGTTTTCGCAAGGTACTCTTTCTTAGTTGATTTTGCGTGCTTGGAAGATAGAAGAAGGTGTTCTTGATTTCTTCTTGGTGGCTTGCGCAAGAAGAGAAACAAATTTTCTCTTGTACGTATTTCTTCTTTTTCCGTGTATCTCGGTGTAGAAAGAGAAGAGTGAAGAAGTGAAATGAAGAGTTCGCTCTTGTAATTGGAGACGATCAACTGGTGTAAATTCCTCAATTAGTAAAATCCGCTGTAATTCCGTGGATGTAGGCAATTTGTCGAACCACGTAAACCTGTGTGTTCTTTTCTGGTGTGATTTTTCTCGTTCTATTTTTCACTTCATCGTCGATCGTTTTAAATTTCACATATACCACAACAACTGGTATCAGAGCCAATGGTTGCGGATGAAGTGAATGTTTCAGGGATCGAGAAATTCGATGACACAGATTTTGGTTCCTGGAGAATGCAGATAGAGGATTACCTTTATGGGAAAAAGTTTCATCTTCCGTTATTGGGTAAAAGACCTGAAGGAATGTATGAGTCTAAATGAAATCTGTTGGATAGACAGGTTCTGTGGTTATTCAATTGACCCTATAAAGTCTGTTGCACACAACATCGTCTAGGAGAGGACGACTGCAGATCTTATGACAGCCCTGTCAGGTATGTATGAAAAGCCATCAACGAATAACAAGGTATATCTGATGAAGAAGTTATTCAATTTGAAAATAACGGAAAGTACGTCTACTGTGCAACACCTGAATGATTTCAATACTATCACAAATCAATTATCGTATGTGAAAATTGAATTTGATGATGAGATATGTGAAAATATCGTATGTGAAAATTGAATTTGATGATGAGATACGTGCACTGATCTTGTTGGCTTCATTGTCAAATAATTAGGAAGCTATGAGGATGGATGCCGATAATTCTGTAGGTAAATCAAAATTGAAATATGTATATATTCGTGATTTGATTTTGGGAGGTGCGCAAGAAAGATTCTGGTGAAATCTCAGGTTCGAGTTCAGCATTAAATATTGGTTCTAGAGAGAGATCACATGACAAGAACTCAAACAGGGGAAGATCAAAATCAAAGAACAGAAGCAGGAGCAAGTCAAGGTCTGGTAAACAAGTAACTTGTTGGAATTGTGACAAAACTGAACATATAAAGAGGAACTGCAATAATCCTAAGAAAACGGAGAATGACAGTGCAAATGTGGTAACTGAAGAAACATGTGCATTACTGCTGGCAATTCATAGTTCTGTTGATGGCTGAATACTGGATTCAGGAGTTTCTTCCCATACAACTTTCCATCAGGAATCGATACAGAATTATGTTGCAGGTGACTTTGGGAAAGTATATCTGACAGATGGAGAAGCTCTGAACGTGGTAGGAATAGAAGATATTGACATTGCACTTCCTAACAAGAACAAGTGGATTTTGCAAAAGGTCAGACACATTCCTGAACTAAAGAAGATCCTCATTTCTGTTGGACAGTTTGATGAGTGTGGACATTCAGTAGTGTTCTCAGATAGCACCTGGAATATTACTAAAGGAGCACTGGTACTGGCTCGGAGTAAGAAAACAAGTACGTTGTTTATGACTATTGGTTTAATTAACAGTGTTGATACTACTGTTGTAGAGAGCACAGCAGAGTTGTGACATTGCAGACTTGGTCATATGAGTCAGAGAGATATGAGAGAACTTCAGTCCAGAGGTAAGCTACTATAACTGAAGTCAATTGATCTCGACATCTGTGAGAGTTATATTATGGGGAAGCAGAGGAAAGTCAGTTTCTTGAAAGGTGACAGAACGCCAAAGGCAGGGAAGCTGAATCCATTACATACAGATGTTTGGGGACCTTCTCTAGTGGCATCTCTTGGAAGCTCTCGTTAGTACATCACATTCATTGATGATTATAGCAGAAAGGTATGGGTTTATTTCTTGAAATATAAATCTGATGTATTCAGTGTGTTCAAGACTTAGAAGGCCATGGGTTGAGACAGAGACATGCTTTAAAGCTGAAATGTCTGAGGTCTGATAAAGGTGGTGAGTACATTGATGGTGGGTTCAAGGAGTACTGTACAGCTCATGGAATCAGAATGGAGAAGACCATTCTAGAAACACTACAACAAAATGGTGTTGCAGAGCGCATGAACAGGACCATTAATGAGCGGGCTAGTATCATGAGATTGCACGCCAGAATACCACCTACTTTCTGGGCAGAAGAGGTCAGTACTGAAGTTTATTTGATCAACAGTGGGTCATCTGTTCCATTAAACTGTGAATTACCTGAAGAAGTCAAGAGTGGGAAAATAATTAAATTTTCTCACCTTAAGACTTTTGGTTGTCGTTCTTATATTATCATTAATCCTGATGCTCGAAGTAAGCTTGAGACTAAGTCAAAGAAGTGTTATTTCATTGGCTATAGAGATAAAACATACATTTGGATATCGTTTCTGGGATGGTCAGGGTCGGAAGATCATAAGGAGCGGGAACGTGATTTTCAATGAGAATGTTATATACAAGGACAAGTCCAGTACAGTTTCTAAAACATCACTGAAGGAATCTGAGTTGGTAAGATTTGATGATTTACCATAGGTCACGTTGCAGGACAGAGATGCTGGTGATGAGAAGAGTGGATCCGGGGCATCCACTCTTATTGTTCCACAGTTAGCTTCATACGTTCTCCACAGCGTTATTCTCCAACTTTGAACTACATTATGCTGATAGATGGTGGAAAACCTCAAAGTTATGAAAAAATCTTGCAAGATGAAAATTCGAGCAAGTGAGAGTTTGCCATGAAAAAAAGAAATGGATTCTCTGCTAGAAAATCAGACTTGGGAGTTAGCAGATCTTCTAATTGGGAAGAAGACATTACACAACAAATGGGTGTACGGGGTGAAGACTCAGTATGATGACAGTAAAAGGTACAAGGTTAGACTTGTTGTAAAAGCTTTTCAGTAGAAGCATAGTATTGATTATTCCGAGATTTTCTCTCATGTGGTGAAGCTTACAACCATCAGAATGATACTTTCTATGGTGGCTACTGAAGGGTGGCTACTGAAGATAAGATCTCTTCCTTGAGCAGTTAGATGTGAAGACAGTCTTTCTTCATGGGGATCTTGAAGAAGACATCTACATGCACTAACCTGAGGGGTTCGTGGTACAGGAAAAGGAAGAGTCAGTTGCAGATTGAAGAAGAGCTTGTATGGTCTGAAGCAAGCTCCTAGACAATGGTACAAGAAATTTGATAATTTCATGCACAGTGCAGGGTACAGCAGATGTAAGGCAGATCACTGTTGCTATGTCAGGTATTTTGACAATTCCTATATCATCCACTGTTGTATGTGGATGATATGCTTATTGCAGATGCTAGTATTGAGGAGATCAATAATCTGAAGGAGCAGATGTCAAAGCACTTTGCAATGAAGGATTTGAGAGCGTCAAAACAAATCTTTGGTATGAGAATTGTCAGAGATAGAGTCAGAGGCATATTGAGACTCTCTCAGGCTGAGTATGTGAAAAAGATACTTAGCAGGTTCAACATGGATAATGTCAAATCAGTTGACACACCCTTGGGAAGTCACTTCAGACTCAACAAGAATCAGTCACCCAAGTCAGAGGAGGAACGAGATCACATGAGTAAGGTTCCTTATGCTTCAGCTATTGATTCACTTATGTATGTAAGAATTTGAACCATACTGGATATTGCTCACGCAGTGGGAGTTGTTAGCAGATACATGAGTAATCCTGGAAAGATTCATTAGGAAGCAGTGAAGTGGATCTTGAGGTATCTAAGAAGCTCTGCAGAAACTTGCTTGTGTTTCGCAGGAAAGAGTTCAGAGGTACGAGGCTATGTTGATGTTGATCTAGCTGGAGACATTGATACCAGAAGTACTACAGGCTATATTTATACTATTGGTGGCACTGCACTATCATGGGGCTCTAATCTGCATAAGACAGTTTTGTTGTCTACTACAGAAGCTGAGTATATTGCAGTGTCAGAGGTTGCAAAGGAGATGATATGGTTACAGGGCTTCTTGAAAGAATTAGGCAAGAAGGATCAGATGGACATACTCTATAGTGATAGCCAGAGCGTCATATTCTTTGTCAAAAATCTAACATTTCAGTCCAGGACTAAGCACATTCAGATCAGATATCACTTCATACGGTCATTGTTGGATGACGGACAATTGTTCTTTGACAAAGGGTGTTATTCTGGAGAAACTGAAGTTGTGCGTAGCTTCAGTTGGTCTTCTAGCTTGAAGATAGGGGGCTTGAGTTACAGAAGTGAAGGACAACACATTTGAAGAAAAAGACTATGCCGCTAGTGGAGGTCATCAGTTTGAGGAAGAAATGTCGTAGTCTGTGTACTAGTCTCCAAGTGAGAGTTGTGTTAGGTGTGGAAACAGTTAAAATCAACGAAAATAAAAAAATAAAAACCCCGCACATATTTCTTCCGCTCCTGATCTCGACTCCCGTCTTCTGCTCCCATTTTCACGAACAGAAAAAAAAGCTCCTATTCGCGATCTCTCGCTCCCGTCTCCGGCTGCGCGAGAACAGAAACTTCCTCTCGTCTCCGTCTCCTTCATGCGAGAACAGAAACTCTCACCTCCTTCATTTCGCGGAAGCAGAAAAGGAGACTTCCTGCTTGGATTGCTCGGATTCCTGTTGAGGCTTACGAGAAGCAGAAGGCAGAAAAATGTGTTTTCGCAATGTACTCTTTCTTGATTGATTTTGCATGCTTAGAAGGAAGAAGAAGGTGTTCTTGATTTTTTCTTGGTGGCTTGCGCAAGAAGAGAAACAGATTTTTTCTTGTACGTATTTCTTCTTCTTCGGTGTATCTCGGTGCAGAGAGAGAAGGTGAAGAAGTGAAAGGAAGAGTTGGAAGAGTTCGCTCTTGTAATTGGAGACGATCAACTAGTGTAAATTTTTCAATTAGTAAAATCTTCTGCAACTCTGTGGATGTAGGCAATTTGCCGAACCACGTAAATCTGTGTGTTCTTTTCTAGTGTGATTTTTCTAGTTCTATTTTTCACTTCATCGTCGATCGTATTAAATTTCATGATACCACAACAGTACTCAACCATGAAACTCAGACAAAATTATTGGATTCTAACGATGGTGAACCACGGATATCAATTTATTATTTATGAAAGTCTGTTGGCTCATATAAACTTTCAAGTGTCTTGATCAGCAAACTTACTGCACAGGGCAAAGGAAGATATTTGCATGCGCTAGAAGTAAACAAGAAAGTATAAAGTACTAAAATTCCAATTCTCATCAGGTTCGAGCCTGCTTCTGTTCCCATACGAACCTGGGGAACACAGATCATTAACAGTTATCAGCTTTCTATAAACATACTAAACAAAAATAGTATACTTAGAAAATGCAGATGAAACTTGAGCTGAAAGATATACCAGAGGGGACATCTTCCCAACAGCGCTATCTCCATCAATCTAAGATCAACAATCAGATAATGAATTTACAAAAAAATATATATGTCGAGCATGAAAATTGTATAAGCTCACCTGGTGAAAATGACTGCAGAAGAGAATGAAGGTGGTGGTGAGTCCAACCAGTACTGAAGCACATAAAACTGTAGAGCTTAATGGGAGGGAGTTCATGCCACTGCAGAGTTCAGTAACTCAAAAGGTTCAATTGATCAAGCGTAAATCAAGTAATTTATTATCAGCTTGAATGAGAAAAACCTTGGTGTGTTTTTACTGCTTTGTGCGAAATAGAAAGCTGTTGTGGCAAAAGGACCAAAGGCTGAAAAGCACAACGGTTCTCCAAGTCCATGGTAGCTCAGTCTGAATGGAGGACACTGCATTGGATTTAACTTAGAGAAATTGCATATATATATATATATACAACACAATTCCTATTTATTTTCATATCAAGCACCTAAAGTTTGATATTTACGTTTATAAAGTTTTGGTGTCATAAACCTGCATATAAAAAGGTGTATTTCACTTTTATAGAGTTAGTAGTGATGTTATTTTTAATGTGCTATGAAAGATTTGAGTGTTCCATATGTACATATTGAAGTTTAGATTTTAGATTTGTAAATACATAAGAATTGTGTGGTATGTAATGACTAGTAGGAATTTCAATAACATTAGAAAAATTTATAGGTTGTCAACTGATCAGCAGTTCATCAAATTAAATAGTTGGTGAGAAATTGAATGTGAATATATCACTGAACATCATGGAGAGATTATAAGGAAAAATAAGTAAATGATGGACCTCTAAAACACACGAATCCTACAATAGGTCTAGTGCAATAGCCCTCTCTTGACGTTATGTTTATGCTTTCAAAGTGCTTCCTTCTTCCTCCTATTCATTATTGGTGTAGTTATTGATCCAAATCTAGGTTTTCTGTTAAACTGGAAGAGAAACCGTTTTACCAATTTAGCCGTTCTCGTTCCTGGTTTTTCTTCTTGGTTGAGAATAGTCTATAAATAGGACTTCTCTAATATCATGTATGATTAAGATATTTTTGTATTCAGAAATAAAACGCTTTCTCTGGTATTTCCCGGTGCTAGGCAAGAAGGATAAAAGATGTACAGACTCTGTTTTTTGCGCTCTATCTGACATCATTTGTTTATTATTCTTTATTGTATCTTATTATAAAATTGAAACATTAAGTAGTTAAAAAAAACAAAAATAAAATAAAATACAAATTTTATGTGGAAAAATAAACAAGGGAAGAATTACGAGCAAAGAGGAAAATTCACAAAAACCAAAAAAAAGCTACAAGCGGAGAGTGTCAGCTCAAAAATGAAAAACACTTAAGAGGGGATCAATACAACAAGATCACACTAAGTAGAATCTTAATGTTATTAGAAGAGCAATCAAATGGTAGAACATTGAATCCATATATTTATTATTAAGACGAGCGCGCCCCAAAAAACCTGAGTCACAAATTTCAACAATCTCCACATAGAAATGAATTCCCAAAGGAATGCATAATAAATCTTCAATCTTCAATAAAAATATTTTTCACATCTTCCATAAAAAAACTCTAAAGATTGACAATGAATACCAACCAAGTCTAAGCAATTGTTAAACTTGGCAATTAGTAATGTTTTAGTCATCATATCGAACATGAATGTGCCAATTTTCTAATGAAACATCGAATCTTTAGTAAGACGAATAACACTCTAATTATCAAACATCACTGTAGTAATATTCAATAAGCTATCCAAACAAACCTTTCAACCAAAAAATTTCTTCATAAGCTTCAATAGATTTTACATATGGCTTCAGTTGTAGACAAACCACTATAATTTAGAAAATAGTCTTCGAGTTAATCACACAACCACTAACGATAAATACATTTCTTTAAGTGATCTTCTCCTATTAAGGTCTCTAATAAAGTCTAAATTAACATAGTTGATGACTTTATTGATAGTCCTCCAAAATGCAAATAAATATATTTTGTTCAACATAAGTATATAATTATTCACTGAACTGTTTTCCGATACTCCTTGTTTAGAATTCTCATGTACCTGTTGACTGAACAAATTGCACATGACAAATATGGACAGAACATACAATTGTACAATTGAGAGATCTCGTTGCACTGGAATATAAAACACAATATTAATACTTAATTTCATCATCTAATTGTGGACACATAACTAATTAAAATCTTAAATGATGGTTTAAAATAGGCTTGCACGTAATAGCATGATTGTGTCATTTGTTGATCCCTGCGCACAACACTAATCCGGTCAGGGTTGGAAACTTCAGCTTGAGGTGTGGCACAAAAGTAGCAATGTTGCAGATGGATTTGAGGGGACTTTCGAAGATGAATTTGAGGGGTCTTTCGAAGATGGCATTATATGAACATTTTGATTTGACAAGTATGAATTGATTGAAGTCATTTGTCAAGGAAATTATCTCATTATGTGAAGTAGACTGGTCATTCACTTGACTCTCACTGGTCGATTATGAAACCTATATAATAGCCCAGATGTTAGCTGAAGTTTCTCCCAAGTTAGTTGGAGAAAATGCTGAGTAGAACAATATGTCAACAGAGTTGTTGCTATCAATTGGATTCCTCTTCACCTTGTAATAAGGTTCCTCAATTCTTGCATTGATGGCGAGAGGGTCTTGGTGAGGCACTTAAATTTCCTCCAGGTCAGAATTATTGAAAGTGAAATGGACTCAATGTGTGGTTTCCTTTACACTGGTTCTTCAGGTCCAATGATTAAGACTTAAATCAGATGGTAATAGACTCTAGTAAATGTTCGAACTTTGCCAACCTATTTGATGGTTCCTCTGTTGTTGCTTTTAAGTTTGTTGCCCCTAGTGAAATCATTATCCATACGGACAAGTTGATATTGTATGAATAACCCAAGTACCCTTAGTGAATTAACATTTCAATCTCTTCTTTGAGTTAATTACATGTCTCAATTGCATGACCACGATTCTAATGGAAGTGGCAGTATTGTTCTTGATCTCATTTTCAGTTTTCAAGTGTGAGGCCACGTAATAGTCTCTTCATATTTAATTATCACCAAGACATTGACATGCAATGTGTTGAGCGCTTATACTCCTTCTTTGGTTGATGTTCACTTTATTGGTTTGGAGGGTTACCAATCAACCCAGCTACACAGGATGAATGAGTGAAGCTCGCAGTTTTGAGGAAATCGACATCTTGGTCTGCCAAAGGAGTAATCTCATCATAGCAAGAATGCCCAGTACGATTATTCTCAAGTGGGAGACTCTTTGCAGGTTGTTGAATATGCAACAAGCAGACATTGTCTAGTTGTGCGGGTATGGTTGCCAACCCTCACATAGAAGCTGAAGAATCTCATGTTGAGACTCATTCATTCTACACACTCGATCGACCAAGGATGGCATTGATGCATGTTCTCTATTAGGATAACACTTTTCGTGGAGGAAAGAAGCAGATGCTCGATGTCCCTGACTCTGTGAAACCCTCTGAGGTGGTGGGTGTTATAACAGGATGTTCCATTATTACAATTATTGTGTCTTTCAGTCACTCCACAGGGTTTCAAATCTAGAATGGCTCTTGGATTCCACCCCTTCTCCTCGAGGTTCAGTTCTTCCTCTAGCTCTTGATCCCCTTTCATGAAGGGAGTAGTGCATTATTTATAGAGTCTAACAGTGGCATCCCCTATAAATAAGGCAGGAATTCAAACCAATCCATCGGAAGGCTCAAAATGATTTTCTTGATCTTATGACATTTTATTGATATTTAAGTGTTTTAATGATGTCGAAATTGAGTGATTTTGGACTTATTGGATTTGTCTCATCGATACGCTTGATTTTACTATAAAATTGCCACATTTCAAATCAAATTTATGCTCCAATTGACCAAACAAAGCTTCTAAAAGTGATTTAATGGTTTGTTCTCGTATTTATTTGACTCGAATTGGATTAATTTTGGTGTCATTGGGTTTGTTTCGTCAAGCCGATCAATTTGACTGTAAGTTTGTTGAAATTGGATTCCACGATGATTTTTAATTTGAGTATGAATGTTTCTTGCTCAAAAAAATGCCTCGATATTTATGTCATGGCTCAAGATTCATGCCAAATAATGAAAATTTAAATATGACATATCAAGTCAAATGTATTTTTTTTTCCTCCAAAATTTTTATTCCACTGTACCATGCCTATGGTCATCATTGCAACAGAGCAGTTTCCCAATTGAAATGATTAGTGGCCAGGTAAAGAATTAGCAAAGAAAAGAATAAGATAATAGTTTTGTTTGGATTGAAGGGAAGTGAAGGAACTGAAATTAACTTCCAACAATTTATATGTTGATAATGAATCTGCAACTATTAATTTAAGCTTTGAAAAAACCCTTTTCATCTCCTTTCACAAAAATTCCTAGCATCCAAACACAGCCATTCAATTTCTTAAACAATATATTCACCTGATGGAACTTCATTCGTGCAAGAATACAAGAAAAAATCTACATAATTATTGTTTCAATCACCAGCTTAGTAAACTATCTTAAATAATATCTTCACCTTAGTAATGCTATCATTAATGATCACAGAGCTGAAAGGTTTCCAACAAATTTCCTTAAAAACAAGCTATTTGGTTTGGTACCTGATAAACATAACCACATAAGATAGCAGATGAAACTAGCAAAATGAAACGGATATCTCCTGCTTCTGCACATGCCCAAATGAGCCCCATAAAGCCGAGCACAAGAGATGTAACGGCTGCATTATGGGTAGCTGTCTGACTTCTCAACAATTATAATTTGCGTTAGTATTATTACACAAGTAAGATTTTTCAAAGGCACCAAAATTAACTTAAGCTACAAAACAATACTGAAACATGCCTGCCAATAATGTTAATAACCGACTCCTTTTTGTTTTTATCCACCCCGGTTTCATAATCATGGACATCATTGCTGCAAAAAATGAGCCATTTTTAGAATCTTAAATGAAACATTGCAGCGGTATTCATATCGGAAGAACATCATGTAATTGAAAATTTCCAATCACCTCAAATTGAGCCAAGCAATGATGAGAACTGATGCAAAGAAGAGCAAAAGATAACGCTTGGCAGAGAAAAAGCCAGTTTGAAAATATGCTGCAGCAGAGCCTACCTGCCCGAAAATGCGAAGAAGTTGAAAACTGAAATTCAAATAAATAAAATAAGACGAACAAAATCACACAAATATGTGACAAATAAGCACAAATCAATAACCATTAAATATAATTGATGCTCAGATGAGCGAACTCTTTCAAAAAAATAAATAAAGACTCGGTTTTTCTGGTAATCTATTTAGCACAGAAACCGGCTTCGAAAGAAAAGAACGTTTACGACTTGAAGAGAAGACTGTTCGCAAGTAGAAAACACTACTAGAATTGATACTCACGGTCAGAGGCACCATTGCCACAGAATATATAGGTAATTTGGCTGCCCTCCATATGAGGGTCGTCCTGGACATCCCATCCGCTTCGCCTTCTTCCTTTTCCGCCGCCCTAAGGCTGACAGCAAGCGGTTGGGATGAGCATTTCAGTGCCGAAAGATGCCCATGTGTTTTTTCACTTACTATCCATTTCCTACAGCTTGTAACTGGCGGAAAGACTCTATAGCAGGGAGGAGGTCGAAGACAGGGGCCGGAAACAAGTGGGAAGAAGCAAGGATGGTGAAATTTTCCAGCCACAACTGATCCCATGATGAGTAAGCGCGCGTTGAGGAGGTGCTACATGATGCAGGCGAAGCTCAGGTAAGGCTTAGGTTTACCGACAGCAGTCTTGACTTGGTTGGTCCTCCCAAATGGATTAGATAAGGAGATTAGGTGCAGCCCAGTCAATGCGACACCCATGGTTTAGGTTAAAAGCTTAAAAATTACATTGGCACATAGCACTCAAAATTTATCTATTAATATATTTCACATCTAAATTTTAATATTTACAAAAAAATTTTTTTTTTTTTTTAGCTTCCATTCCCTTCACAAACCCCCATCATTTCCTCTCAACTCCTCCAACTTCCCTACTACAAAACCAACTAGCCAGCCCCTCTCCATTTCATGCCACAAAACCACACACTCAATATCTCTCCCTCTCCCACTCCCTCTCATATGCATGCCGACGACACCGCCCTCTTCATCAAAATCCATAAGGCTCGGCTTCTCCTCCACTAGCACAATCGAGGGTAACACCGCGCCGACCACCCATGGGTTCCACATTCGACACCACACCGACCATCCCTACATTTTAACTGAAAGATAGGTTGGAGACAAATGGTCTGTTTGGCGCAGCTTATATATGTGATTGGCGTTTTCGGAACGCTGGGGTGGCGTTTGAAAAACATGTTCGGGCCAACGGTGGATATACGCACGTAAAGGTTTATACTATTACCCGTTGCTTCATTCGCCGCTCCGAGCCCCTTGTGTTCCGTGTTTAGGGATAGGTTATTACTCCACTGCCCTCTTCGATCCGGTTTCGTCGTTGTTGCCCTAGATCTGCGATAATGCTCCCCTAATCTCGTCTCTGCTCCTCGATTACGTTTGTGATCAGAATCTTCGATCTCGTGCACCCCTCTGCTAGAAATTTCTTTAAAATTTTCATAGGTATCGTTCGTCTGAAATTTTTTAACTGTTCGGAAATGCTATGATCGTTGCGTGGGATCGTTCATATGAAATTTTTTAAGTGTTGGGAAATGCCCGTGATCTCGTCTCTGCTCCTCATTTGTCTGAAATTTTTTAACCTGAAATTTTTCTTCAAAACGTTGCCTGGGATCGTGGTCGAAATTTTTTAGCTGTTGGGAAATGTTGTCATATGAAAGATCTGTTTTTCTTCAAAACGTTGCCTGGGATCCTCATTTTGGCATTGTTGGAATGCAAAGATGTTCCTTTTGGATGAAATGTTGTTTGGCTGATCTTTATTTGGCATTGTTGAATGTTATCATATGAAAGATTAGTCAAACGTTATTTGTTTGATTTTTATTTTGGCGTTGTTGGAATGCAGTGAAAATTTCTCTATTGTGACAACGCATTGTTGGAATGCAGTGAAATTTTCTCTATTGTGACAAGTTTTTGAATTGCATAGAATCCATAGATGTTCCTTTTAGGTGGGTGATTGTGGCATTGTTGGAATGCGTTAAAACAATCCTATACATGGAATAACATGTATCACGTTGTTGGTTGTAATGAATGCTCTATCAATTACATGCAATAGCTGCAATATGTGGTTGTGGTTGACAGTATTTGTTGGACAGTATTTGTTGTAGTGTTTGGTTTAATAGCTGCATTGGATGAGTTGCAGAAAGCCGTATTGGTTGATAGTTTTTTTGGGTTAGTTGTCTGTGTTGGTTACTAGATGCAGAAAGTTGTATTGGCTTTAGAAGTTTGAACTGGTTACTAGTTGCAAAAATTAAAGATGGAAGGTTTTGATGCATCAGCGTGTATTGGCGTGCATCAGCGTGTATTGTTGTTTCCGGTTTTACCAATTTGATAGTTATTTATTGTTGTTTCCGGTTTTGATGTAGAAATTTTTTTGGAGTTTTGGTTTTAGGAATTTCTGCAGCTTGTTTATTTGAGAGCATGGTGTAGTAAGCTTACACATTTGAGAGCTTATTTGTAGCTGTGTAATCTTACAGATTTGCTTAATAAAACTTTCGTGGATTGTCTTCTGTGGATGTAGGTCATTGGCTGAACCACATAAATCTCTTGTTTACCAGTTTTTTTGTGGTAAATTGGAACGTTATGGAATTGATGTTGGTTGTCGACGTTTATTTATAATATGCTCTTTTAATTTTAAATTACAAAATATAATTTCATAAGTTGTGGAATTGATATGGATGAAGTTGGATGAAGTTGGATATGGATGAAGTTGGCTATTTTTTTTTACACATTTAGCAAATACTTATTTTCCTTTTTTCCCTAGAGTTCGATGTCTAAGACGTCTGAAGGGGGTGCCTCTGCAATGTGGGATAAAGAAGTTGCCAATATATTTTGCGATCTATGTATTAAGGAAATTGAACTGGGGAACATGCCAACTACGAATTTTAATAAGGAGGGTTGACAAAATATTGCTTAGAGGTTCAAAGAATTAACTGGAAGAGATTACGACATGCTGAAATTCAAAAATAAATGGGACCAATTGAAGAAAGAATAGAAAATATGGAAGGAGCTGAAACGTGGCTCTACCGGGTTGGGTTGGGATCCCGTTAAACGAATTATCGATGCTCCAGATGAATGGTGGATTGAAAGATTGGAGGTACTAAATACAAATATATTTTCTTAATTTCATTATTTTTTAGTTAATGCCTAAATTCCTCTAATAAATGTCTTATATTCCAGGTAATGCCAACTATCAAAAAATATAGGCAGTGCGAAATTGAGTCAGAGTTCGAGGAAAAACTTGACATAATGTTTAAGGGGGTTGTCGCGACTGGAAAGAATTCATTCAGCCCAAGTGAAATGGGATTTTCAGAAATACCAGATGACTTGCCACCTAAACAAGTCATAGCTGATGATGAAGGGCCTAGTATTAACCAAAAGGAGATTGGAGAGTCCAATTCTGTGTCCAAGAAGCCTAGGCTTGGCAGGAGAATGAAAGAGAAGGATAGTTTCTTTAAAAGCTCATTTCATGAACTAATTGCTGCTTTTTCAGCTCCACCTCCCCCTGACAACACCATCTGGGACTGCGTTATCATTTTAGACACTATTCCAGAAGTAGCTGCTGATATACGCTTTCAGGCAAAATGTGTTAAGAAACTTGAGGACCCTACTCGTAGGCAAATGTTCATGGCCCTACGCCCCGAGCTGCGCCTTGAAAATTTAAGTGTTTTAGTAGAAGAATGAGACTATTTTGTAAAACCTGACAGTAGATGTATTTCATTTTATGTACTTCATTTCCGGATGTTTTGTATTTCATTTGATGTACTTCATTTCCTGATGCTTGGAATTTTATTTTTTGTACTTCATTTATTGCTGTTATGTATTTCATTTATGTCATTTTCCAGATGCTTTCTTCACTAGATGTATTTCATTTATGTCATTTTCTGCTAAATTATTTCATCCTAATAAATTTATAACTTCAAGATGGATCCACTACGAGAACGTTGTAAAAGAATGACATGGGTTGCAACAATAGCGATATTATTGTTGGAATATTACCGGTCCAGCACTAGACGGATACCACGTATGACGTCCTCATATGTTGGGGATAAATGGGTGTGTAGGATGCTTGCTCGACATCCAATAAGGTTCAGTAACGTTTTTCGAATGAGTGCACCCATTTTTATGGATATTCTACATGACTTATGTTGTAACCATGGCCTTCAAGGTTCTTCTAGAACGACCACGTGCATATTGTGGTGGCCACTATGACACTTCACAATTTCATCCGACAACATCCCTCTCATTCAGATACGGACTTCGATATTGCTGATGATGATCCAATTATTGACTCCTTAGAACCTTCTGGATCTCTAGCTGTAATGAGATCGAGTTACTGAATTTGAAACTCAGGATTGTGAGGGTGCAGCCGAGATGGCTGCTCTGAGGGAGTTTATAGCAAATGTTATATATTGCAACTAATCCATCAAGTCTTTCTTTCCTTCGTATATATGTAGATCAATTTTTATGTGTATTTTATTTTTTTGGGATAAGTTCTGACATTCGTTTTTTTTTATTTTTTTCGCAGTTATACAAACATGTCTTCTAGGATATCAGTTACAGACAGAGATATTTTGTATTATTGTGGACTACCGTCTCTGTTGCTCACATCACGTCAGTCTCATAGCATTGGAAAACAGTTCTACGGTTGTGCCAAAGGTGTTTCAGCTCGTTGCAGTTTCTTTCGGTGGTCTGAAAGTCTCACATATTACACTGTCAGCAGTCATGGGAATTCAATGTTTTCCCAGGCTGATAGTGTAGATGAGGACAGACGTAGCCAGAGTTTGAAATTAAATATTTTAATATTTTTCATTTAGTTGTACTTGTCTTTGTCCTTTTTTATTTATTCTGGTACCACGAGAGTGTGAGAACTGTATGTTATATTTTGGAACTAGTCTGTGATGATTGTATGCTTCTGCACTATATATTTCTGTACTACCAATAAGCTATTCTGAATAAGCTGCCCCAAACAGTTTTATCAGACAATGACATAAATGTCATTTAACCACCAATAAACTAATCTGAATAAGCTGCCCCAAATAGTAAGCCATGTTATTCTGATAATCTGCAGATTATCAGAATAATTTATTTATCAGCAGATTATAAATAATCAACAGGTGCGCCAAACAAATTCAAAATCTATTAAAGGAATTTAAAATAGTGTTTTATTATTATTATTCTTTTAAATATAAAAGTTTTGGTGTGAAATATGTTAATAGGTAAATATTGAGTTATATATTAATAGGGTGCACCTAGAGCTGTAAATGAGCCGACTTGAGCGAGCTCAGGCTTGACTCGTGTTCGGTTCGTTCGAAATAGCTCGGGTTCGAAATCGGCCCGCGCGTAACCGTGAACAGTGTGTTCGTGTTCGACTCGATTTAAATGTTTGTGTTCGTGTTAGACTCAAAATTGACACGTTAAAATTAAATTGAAAAAAATAGGTGTTAAGTGTGAGATTCGAACTTGGACCAAATGTATACAAAAAAATGCACTAACCACATTACCACATGAGATGTTATGCTTTAAATTTAGACATAAATATATATAATATATTATTATATAAATAATATATGTAATATATTATTATATAAATAGTTATATATAAAATTTTTATTTCGAGCTAAAACGAGCCGAACACGAGCAAACAAAGAGTTGTTCGTGTTCGGCTC